TGATGATGATTATTATTATGATGATGATGATGATGATGAACGAATGAAGCTATGATGATACCGCAGTTATTTTTTCAAGGGAAAATTATTTTGAACATACATGGATACATGGTCTCAAGTATATAATGTAATGATATTTTGGGTGAAGACAACTGTCCTTGTTATTATCAGTCTCCCAATAATCTTTCAGTAATAATCAAGTCTATCAATAAAGTATAAAATGAATAGATCTTTATTTATTGATTAACAGGAAGGATGACATACATTTTGAAGCTTTGTGCTTTCGCAAGTTTTCTCTCAATAGCACTAGGAGAGGAAATACCATATGAAATACCCAGGGAAGAGTTTTATAAAGGTATCAACGTACAAACAAAAAAAGAAAATAATACATCTTAATAAGTGACAAGAATAAATGAGTGGAAGAAAAGGAGAAAGGGGTCATGGTTCCCGGGGGGGTTACTCCCCTGCTATATTTGCTATACGGGTACGTTCCGCCAAACAGGGTATGGTTTTCAGCGATTCTACTCTGGAACAGGGTATATAAAATCGCGCTCGCTCTGGGACAGGGTATATGAAATCAAGCTCTCTCCTCTCTGGAACAGGGTATCCATTTTGGCACTACCGAAAAAGGGTATGAATTTCAGCGATCTTGCTCTGGAACAGAGTATGAAAATCAGCGATTTTACTCTGGAACAGGGTCAGGGTTCAGAGGGCTCAGGGGCACATCCCTACCCTAAACGGTCAGGAGTACCCCCTCCCCTGGTAATGGTTACAACGTTTTCGCTCGAAACTTTTGGTCAATGTCCCCTATTTGTCTGTTCTTTCTATCTTCACAGACATATTTTTGATAATGCAATCATATCGCATATTGAAGTTTTACAATGATATAACTGCGTATAATGACCATGAGGCACCTTTTTTAAACTTTTATAGAAACGCCTGAAAAAGAATTGAATTTCAACCAGTTTCTGGAGAAGCTTCACAAACAAATCAATGTCGACATCAAAGAAAAACTAACCGAGCAGTTCAAAATCCACGAAGATATGCTTAATATTTTAAAAAAAGTTAGAAAGTTGGACGCTTGTTTTGGATTCAATCTGGATCTAAAGGGTTCTAGCATCGAAAACGTAAAAATTGGCTTTCCTGACGAATTTGACTTCGGCTTAGTAAACCAAAGATGGACAGGCAAGATCGTGTTGTTGGAGAACGATAAGACACCTCCTGGTTTTGGTTATGCAGTCGACAAAGACGAAAAGACCTGCTTGAAAAACTACCTTGCAGAACACACCAAGTACGTCGACCCTGCTAAAGTCCGGGGACGACTTCGAGAACTGGTGGCCAGGGCGATGACTGACCTTCAAATGGATGGAAGAATCCAGGATATAAGAGAGGGAGGGCCAGCGGTCACGTTTGAAGAAATTACGCCAAACGACAGAAGGTATCCTTTGATTTCTATTGATTTGGCTATCGCTATTGACCTGAGGAAATGGCCCAGAGATGCCAGGATACTTCCTCCTCATATAATGAATGCTAACGCCCAGTTGGTTCCTAAGGTACTGAGCGAACCGCACACGAAGGTTTGGCAAATCTCATTCTCTAAGGTGGAGAAAAGAATCATGCAAGATATTGACAATGATGGTGGGTGTAGGAAAAAAGTACTACAACTTGCTAAACATTTAAAAACCAGAGCTATAGGCCAAGGATTCTTCCTGGCTTCCTACCACTTGAAAATGACGTTATTGCACCTAAACAATAAGAAGAAACAGGCAGAAGACTGGAAACAAAATAAACTCACAGATCGATTCGTGGATCTAATAAATTGGCTTCTGCACTATCTGAGAAAAGGAAGCTTGCCAAGTTTCTTTATAAAGGGTTATGACCTCTTTAAAAACAAGCCAGATCTTAGATCAGCTATTGAAAGTATCAAACAAGTAATAGAAAAGATGCACAACGATCCAAGCTTTTTGTTACCTGAAAATGATAGACTACAGCCTAGACACAAAACTCACCATAAGAAATCCAAGAAAAGATACTATGTACTGAATATCTAATAAAAGAGTTAATATCCAGTGCTTCATATAAGTTTTTCATTGTTTTGTTTTTTTGATTTTTGCTTTTCTGGTTTTTTTTTGTTTTTGTTTTGTTTTTTGTTTTGTTTTGTTTTTTGTTTTTGTTTTTGTTTTTGTTTTTTTGTTCTTTTTGTTTTTGTTTGTTTGTTTGATTGATTGTTTTTTTATTGTTATTGTTTTTTGTTGTTGTTGTTGTTGTTGTTGTTTTTTTGTATTCATGTTTTAAAGCTGTCTCTGAAGCTTTATTGAATGTAAACTTTTTTTTTCGTAAACTACGGTGTTGTTCGTACAAGCAAACATGACGGTAAAGTAAATCGATTCTTTCTTTCCATATTTCTGTAGGCACATATTACATATTTTAGTCAAACTTTGAATAAAATAAAAAAGGCGCAAAAATTGAGTTACAATGGCCTGGGAATGAGGGCCGGCGGCAAAACAGCTAAATGCGCTGTAATTTGCTGAAACAAAATTCAATGCTAATCTGGATGGGTTTCTGCAGATTTCTCCACACAAAAACAGCTAGATTAACGAACGCCATGAAACTTGATTACTCAATGGTAATACCCATTCCCTGTTCTATCAAGTCTCCTTTAAACGATATATATTTTTATTGAGGTTTTATTTAGTTTTAAACGAAACATAGCCTTGAAGGGGTCCAATAACCTTAATTCACAAACGATGTGAAACGAGAAAGGTCAGAAAAGGAAATGATCACATGCTGAGAGGGAGTTCTGGTACTGCAGCCAAGACCTCACGTAGTCTTGATTTTTATTCTGTGATTTCAATCAACTCTTCTCGAATAAACTTCTGAGACTCCTAGGTCTGGTTCGTACTTATGAAAGGGCCAGAGCTTGGTCAGGCCGAGTCTTGTTATATGCTGAAATTCTTCATTTTATTCAGTATTGAGTGGTGTTTGGTAGAAAAGTATCCTCATGTTTGACACGTGTGCGGTAATTTGATCCTTTCAAGATAAAGTTCCTTGCATTCCAGCTGTGGACCTCGAATTTTCCACCTAAAGGTATTCGAGGTCTTCCTAAACAACTATACGCAAAAACACACTAAAATCAAAAGACTTAAAAATAACGAAGAGAAAGCCTTGAATATAACAATGTCGTTAATTGCTGGTGTTGTCACGCTAGTGTTTGTCATTCAGACAGGTAAGAAAAGACTTATTTATTCAATTTATGGCATTCAAGTTGAGATTACTAGTTTATCAGGCGTTCAATTTTGAATCACTATTTACTAAGCTTTCGTTCAAAAATAACCAAATGATTTGTATTTCATAAGATATTTGACAACCAGTGAAAGTCCTTCTTGGATAGGGTATTTGGACAGGAAAAGTTTTCAGTAATATTTGTTCCTAATTTCTTTAAAGTTAGACTACGCGTTTTCTCGACGATAAGCGATTTCTGCCTGCCCTTCTAAATCAGGCATAATTCAAAAATCGAGCTGGTTTGAAATTCAGTTGGAAAGTGCGTCAGCAAAATATATTTTTAGAAATAGTGCTTAGCTTTTAAGCACTATTTTAAACAAATATCATATCAATATTAAATTTGTCATTAGCAAAGGAGACGTCTGGAATTAAATAAGTAATACTAACAATAATTATACTCCGTTCACACCAGACCTTTAAAGTGCTACTATGAYGAAAATCGCTCAAACTTGGATTCAGCTGAAACTTCCTAAGAATACTCTTTAAAGGTCCAATAATCACTGTATGAAGTGTTTTCTCGATATTCAGTACGAAAGTATGATATTTTTACGATTATTTTTTGGAGTCTGTGACGTCATAAACTCAACATCAAACATTGCTACATATATTTCTTTGTATATAAATCCTTAATTTATTTTATTCCTATGAAGCCCAAAGGGTGGCTAATGTGCTTATTTCACATTACTTGTGACTATAATTTATATTTTGGGGTGTTTGGGTATTTCTTTCTCCTTTTACTACTGATATTTTGATTATAAACTACAAAGAAATGTATGGAGCGATGTTCGATGTTGAGTGTATGACGTCACAGACTCCAAAAAATAATCGTAAAAATATCATACTTTCGTCCTGAATATCAAGAAAACACTTCATACAGTGATTATTGGACCTTTAAAGAGTATTCTTAGGAAGTTTCAGCTRAATCCAAGTTTGAGCGATTTTCGTCGTAGTAGCACTTTAAAAATGTTTAAAAGTAGTTTAGTTTTCTCAGTAGTGACAGTTCACACCGTGCGCAAAGGCTTAACTGAACCAGTTCAAACCTGTAGTAAACCTTGTTTAACTAAACTACCTAGGGGAGGTATAGCTTTAGTCCTGTTTAAAGATGGCGGCCAAATAGAAGGACGTGCCGGAGAAATTAATAACTAAATGAGGTTAGTTGGTGTGAAAGGGGTTTTAGTATGGTGCAAATGTGAGCTCTGCATTCAAAACGTTTTCTTCGAAGCGAAAAACATTCGACGTCGATCTTCAGGACAATTTTCTAAGAAACGACAATCATATACACCTACTTCAATAAACGTTGTCATCGCCAAAGGCGATAGGCAATAGTTCATTTGGACATGGAAATGGCTTCGTCGACTACAAAGAACATTGAATCAGTCTCAACACTAAGGTCTATGGTATTGACGAGAATAAGAAGCAGAAACATAAGTCATTACAGCTATTTTTTGATCTCCTATCGCTTTTCGCCTATATATCGACTATCACCTATCGTCTTTGGCGACGATAACGTTTATTAAAATATGTATATACAGGGTCTGGTAATACAATGCATGTCCCACGAGCGCTTCAGTTGAATCCGATTTAAAAAAATACTGAAAGTTAAAAGTTTAGTAGTAGTTGTTGCCAGATTTATCATAAGTAACACCGGGGTAACGACATAAAATCAATTCAAGCCCACTTACATGCATGCAGTTAGAATCAATACTTCATATAAACTGAAGGTTCTATGGGTTACATCTTGATTTGATTTTGATTACGAGACTCGTCGACTCGTCGACTTTAAGTTTGATGCCTGTGAATATTGCAAAATGAATGGCGCTTCGAGTTAGAGTTGATAAATCATGACCAATAGTTAAACGATGTCAACAGAACAAGCGTAGTACATTTACAAGCTCGTGTTAAGTTATAACAGCGTTCTTGTAGAAGCTAACACATGGGTAAATCATCATATTTTCGCTATTTCAGCCAAACTTGTGCATCACAAATCCATTCTCTTACTATATCAACTTTTACTCATTAGTGAATGCATTGCTAATGCATTGTTATCATGCATGTAGAAGTATTCGATGTACAGAAAGAAGATATTTTAATCGAATTAGTTACTAGCCATCCACTTATTAAAAAATAAATTTTCAGAAAGGCTTTTCGTGTATTTTATAAATCGTGTAACCAATATGATAAATGAATATGCCGATATTTTATGATATTCGGAGAGAGAAGTAGTAAAAATACTGAATCATTTTCACCTGGATGCTTTTCAAAAACATCTTCAAACAGTTTCTTTTTTGGGCGGAAAAAATCCAAATAATTTCCGTACGTTAATGAAAGCGGTGGACCTCTAATCTCGGATCAGATAAACCATGTGGGCCTTTTCAATTCAAGGGTCAGCTTGAGGCTCAATGGGAAATTATTTTTAAACGACCCACTGATACTAACTGCATAATAGTATCATTTGTGGTTTTTATGCCGCCAGCGAGTTCGAGAGTTCATTAGTCCCTCCGTTTTGAATTCTCGTAAAAACTAGAATACCTGCACGGAACGACGCAAAAAATTGATTTTGCAGTTTTCTCAAAATATATTATAAATTGGAAAGGTTGTGCGTAGAGGGCGAATCATTAAAATCACTCTTTACTATAAATAACATGATTTACGTTTTTTGGTGTTCAATAGACCTGAGTTTTGAGATCCAAATTACCGCTGTGTTCCTTGATTGCAGACTCATTTACTCAGGCTTAGCCTTGAATCAGTGTCTAAATATTCACAAATACCAACGGTAAAGTAAAGAATGCACAATTCCACCAACACAAACACTTAAAATTCCATTGACCTTCAATGGGACACATTTGCTCTGCACGGCCAACCGTGAGCAACACCTCGAAACTGGAATATTTATATATTACGATGATGGAATTGACCCATTTATTCTAGATTGGACCGTAAAAAAATGCTTTTTCTTTTAAAGTACCCTCTTAAACTTCATTTTCTTTGTTTCAGTTTCGAATTCGAATTACATTGAATAATAGAATTGCAAGAAATTTGAAATGGGAAAAATACCGCCTAAATGGTCCTAGCTTGATTTAAGCATATATTGATGATATCTTATAATGCAAATAACATGTTGGGTGTACGATTAATATCAATAAATACAGATGGATATCGCGAGGACCATTTCATAGCAGGAAATATACTTGTTTCCTTTGGGGGGAATGTCTTTGCACGCACAAACATGCAAGGTCAACTATTTTCCAGCCAATTTACATGGATGCCATGAAAAGGCTCTGTTCATATTACCCCTTTGAAATATAACTTCTTTGATTTAGTTTCCAGTCTCCATTGTTATCAGTGCACTAACACAAACTCATGGGAAGAGTGCGGGAATATTACAACAGATGCAACATGCAGCGAAGAGACAACAAGAGGACAATGTATGTTGCTGACGTTAAAGATACCACAGGGAGATCAATATATTATGAAATACAGTCGTGGATGCGCCAAAATATGTGAAAATATAAATAATCCAAATTGTGGAAAGGAAGAGATGACGTGCAAAGTTGAATGTTGCCATGGAGATTACTGTAACCGGCTTGACTCTGACACAACAGCAAGACCTCTGGAGCCTCAAACGGAAGCCTTTTCTGGTTCGCATAATCACATGCAATTTCTTACGTATAAACTATTTTTTATCGTTCTTTTTTTCGTCATCGAGTTACTATAATTTTTCCCTGATAATAGTTTCGAGTTTTAGCTTTCTCTGAATGTTATCCATATTGCGTATATAAGGTAAAGTAGTGCGTAATTCCTTCCTCACGGCCTGACGCAAGCCCAATGATATGGAACATATAATTTTTCCTAATTAGCCTCGCATTCAAGGGTTTCAGGATAAATAAATGCGACTTTAAACAAACGCTGTTTTTTTAAAAGTGGGATTAAAGCTGACTGCCGCGTCAGCGCAAATAGCACAGATAGACTTTTACGAGTAGCTAACTTCTTTATTTTGATTTTAAAACAGTCGTCTAATCTTAAAATAACGTTTGCTCTTGTAATTGCTAGGAATTGCTACTATGAAGTCAATAGTTCAGTAAAACCGCGGAATCTACAACATGCAATATGCTTTTTGCGTTTTTTTCTTTTTTTTTTCTTTTAATGTTTTATCTTTTGCCTTTTCACAGTTTATGCAGCCTTATTTTTCCAAGTTTTTATTTTCTGTTGATTTGTTCATGGTTTTAAACCTTACTATGTACGAGTTTAAGATACAGTTCGTAAGTAAAGTAGAATTTACATTACTCATGGTCTATCACAATTCCTTTGTTTTGACTGGCTGATCTATCGGACTCTATTAGTGATAAACCACTAGTAGCTACACTGAGTGCCGGTTTTGAAAACCAAAACAATGGCGGCTAGCTCGTATGTTTCAACCTAATTTCAAAATTAGTTGAATTAAGTATTAACGATAAGTTGGTTTTGACCATTCAGATTCAATTCTAATTGTAAATACTCCTGTTTGGAATTCTCTGTTGTACAAGTTTCGTCTCAATTTCTTATGGAACTACTTTAAATAATCATGCATTCTAGTGAAAGTCCTTCGCCGGAATTTCAAAGTTTTGTATTGCTGAAGTTTGTAAAAATGATAATGAAAATGAGGCTCAGGTCAAGTGTCGACCATTGAATAACAAGGTGGTCTTCTCTGTTGTCATTAGGTTGGACTCATTTTGAGTACACCTATTTCAATAAACCTTGTCATAGTCACCAAAGGCGATAGGCGATAGGTCCTTACGACATGGAAATGGTATCGTTGAATACAATAACATTGAATCACCTTACCACTAAGATCCAACTATTCTTGGATCTCGGAATGACTTATCTTCTAATGCCGATTGTTTTTCGCCTATCGCCTATTACCTACTGCCATTGGCGATGGCAAAGTTTTTTGAAATAGATGCAAATGAGTCTGTGATAAAAAAAAAACACATCAGCATTCAGCTAATTCAAAAACGGTCTATTAAAACAAGTCTCCTTCAAAAACCTGTCCATAGCCAAGCAAAATCAGTATAACATATGTTACTTATTATGGTAGATTTATTTTTAAGTTATAGTGCGACCCGAAATCTTCAAGGCTGCGCCCGCGGGGCATCCAGGTTTCCTTAAAGATTACATTTAATGACTCAACTCAAAGGCCTTTTTGATTTTCGTATGTATGAAGGACGGAAGCCAAACGGGAAAAAGAGCTTATCGTGAGTGGGACAAAAAATGGCGCTGCTGTAGGTTTCGATAACAGAAAAACAGAATTTGTACGAATATTCATGAAAAACAACGACGGGGCTGTTTTCGCGAGTGGCTCCAAATTTTTGTGCCTCAAAAGTGTGGGGTCTTTGTTTTAAGTGTGGGGTCTTTGTTTTAAGTGTGGGGTCTTTGTTTTAAGTGTGTGGTCTTTGTGTTAAGTGTGGGGTCTTTGTTTTAAGTGTGGGGTCTTTGTTTTAAG